TGTGACTTTTAATACCAAATATTTCAACCAAATGGACCTAAAACTAATGCACACATTAAATTCCCAATTTGCCCTTGAATTCCCAACAAAATGTAAAATGATCAAAATACCCCTATTATGCATACTTTCTCTCACTAAGGTCTAAAACCTTAATTTAACACCAAGAATGTACATTTTAGGGCTTTCTATCATGAAATGTGGTCCTGAATGCTCAAGAAAAGTGTGTAACAAATATGACTTATCATAAAAAATAATAACTTTTTCACACTTTTGACATTACTAGGTGTCCAAATTCACCATTAAATGCCAAAAGCTTACAACAACCCATATATTACATTCAATAGACTTAAGATACTCTGTACAATGTACCACATACATACAATTCTCTATAAATATCAAATTGACTCTCAACCTTAACTTTTCAACATAATCCAAGGGGGAGGTTTCTAAATTAGTTTTCTTTAAATCTAGCTAGTATTTATCAAAATAATCATATATACTTGCACCAATATTTTAGTCTAGTCCAAATAAAACTTACATCACATAAAAACCTTAGACCTAAAATACAACCAATCATGAGTTCAATGCATATAGTGCTAGTATGACAAAATAGTAGACCTAGCTGGCAACATATGATTCAAATTGCTCATAATATAATCCAAAATAAACATAAAGGCATTACAAAAAGGACTCTAATTCTTTGCCTCCGATGCCTCCCTTTTGCTCCTAACAGAGTTTATAGCCTATAAAATGTTAATAGAAGGATGAGTACAACAACTGAGTAACCAAGATACATTAAATCAAGAACATAGAAGTACAATTAATAATAGGCATGAAAAGTGAGTGAATGGTATAGAGGTGCAAGGCCCATAATTTTCTCCTCAAGTTGGGCCTGAACGGCCCAATACACCTTCAACCTCGATCCAAAGGCTATCAACAAGTCCAATTAATCTATTAGTCATCTCTAACCATTCTCAATTCAATTCATATATAAATTCACTCATTTACACTTCATTACCTTGATTAACCAATGATTTAAAAGTTAGAATGTTACATCTTTATTGCTACTGCTTGTGTCTACTCCTAACATATTGAAGCTAAGTTAGGCTCCACTACTTCAAAGTTCAAGCCTTCAAGTTTGGAAGAGTGGATGGCATGGGCACCCTTGAACTAGAAGAAGAGGCACTTTTCAACCATGAATATGAGCTTCATCTTATTCGTTGTATTCTCTTTGTGGGAAAGGAAGAAGAACTCGATGTGGGAAAGCACTATAAAAAAATCATCATATTATTAGTGCAAATTTCATTGCTAAACTGGTTAGCAATAAAATAATTTTGTTGGTAAAAACACTACCATTAATTCATTAGCAATGAAATTTGCAATTCCTCAACTAATTAATTCCGTCACTAATTTTAGGGATAGCATATTCCAAGTTAGCAATGGAAACCAAATCTCATCACTATCTGTCACGAAATAACAATAGATTAGTGATGGAAATTCTGTCACAAATTTCTAATGGATTAGTGACAAAATTTCCATGACAATTCCATCGCTTATTTTTTTAAAAAAATATATATTTTTATTTATATATTGTGGAAAAACATTCATTGTGAATCAATCGCTAATTTTTTTTTAAAAAAAATTTGATTTTATTTACATGTAGAATTTTTATATACATTAATATTTGTTGATTGTATTAAAATCCCTATAAAACAAGAAATTAATTATACCATAAAGCTAACATTTCAAATTAATCAAATTACCATAAATTGTTGCAAATTACAATGAAAATTTCACTATACTCTAAAAAAAAATACAACAAAGTAGTTTTAATAAACAAGTGATCATAACATGCCACAAATTGTCAAGTCTTGATTTTGGCATAGCCTTGAAGTCCACTTGCAAGTGCTTCATACACACCTTATTCAAGATATGTTCTCCATATTTTCCAAGAAACATATTTCAAATTGTTGATAGTCTGGTATTCTTTATTGCCTTCAAACACTTTTCTTGTTTGGCTACATCATTCTTATTTCTTGGGCCCTGTCTTACTATTGTGCTTCTTTTAGTGTGCTTCTAGTTGATATTGATAGAGGTGGATAAAGAGAATTGAAGTTTGTTGCTACCCTTGTTAAGTTTTTCAGTTAAAAGAACATGTGTTATTTAGAAAGTAGGTATTTTGGTATTGTCATCGTTAACAAAACCTTGAGCTCCTAAAAAGCCAAAGTGAAGTCTACTACTTAGTACTGTTTTGTTTTATTATCTTTTAGAATCTAACAACTTTTGTATGTTGATTTCACGTTGACAATAAAGTTGTGGTCAAGAAAGTGATTTTGTCTCTCTTTTTCAACATGTTATTTGATGAACAAGAAGAAAAGGCTAAACATATGAAATGGAACATTCATAATGAAGCTAAGTTTGCATTAGCAATTTATTTGAATGAGCTTGGATTGAAATACTTGCAATCTACTATCAAATGCTAGCATATATATAGGAAATTAGTGTGATTTGTACCGTTATGTTGAAGTATTAAATTAGACATATAAAGCTAACACAAGATGTAATATCTTATAATGTAATGTAATTTGTGTTATCAAAGGATGTAAAAATATATTATTTAATGATAAATAGATTTGTTGGTATTCAATTGTTTTCATTAATTTTTTAAGTTGGTGTGATTAAAGTTTACATATAACAATGCAATAATAGCCATTGAGAATATTCATTGGTGTTTTCAAAATATCTTGGTGTTTTCATGAAAAATTATGAAAATTTTAGAATATTCATTTGCGTTTTGAAAATATCCTTTGTGTTTTTATGAAAAATAAGAAAATTTTCTTAATATTCATTCGTGTTTTCATGAAAATTAAAGAAACAGAGACCCTGATTCCTTTTTGTCTAAGTTTTTTTAGAATATCTGTTGGTATTTTCATAAAAGTTGAGAAAATTTTAGGATATCCATTGGTATTTTTCATGAAAATTAAAAAAATTTTAGGATATCAATTTGCATTTTCATAAAAACTGAAAAAATTTTCAAAATATCTATTTGTGTTTTTTATGAAATTGAGAAAATTTTTAGGACACTCATTTGTGTCTTCATAAAAATTGAAGAAACAAAGACTATGATTCCTTTTTATTCATATTAATAAGCTTCCATGATATGCAAGATTTTTCTTGTCATATGTTACACTATTTTGCATATGCAAGTTCAAATTTCTTGCATGGTATCCAATGTTTCTTTTATTATATACAACCACTTTCCTATCATATGCAACACTCTTCCACATATACAGATTTCTTTCACGATATGCAACGTTTCTATCGTCATATGCACCACTCTCTCACAAATGCAAATTTTTTTACGATACGCAACACTCTCCCATTATGTGCAACACTCTTTTGTCAAATGCAATACTTTTCTCCAGATGTATATTTCTTTCATGATATATAATGTTTCTTTTGTTATATGCAAGAAACTTCCATAGGTACACATTAGATGCAGACATATTAACATTGAAGGACCTTGTGTGATATATTGACACTGAAGGATCTTGTACTTTAGTGCTCAATAAATTGTCACCGAAGGACCTTGCGTGACATATTGACAACAAAGGACTTTGCTTAACCTTCTTTTTTTTTTTTTGTTACCATTAAGGGCATTTAAATAGTTTACCCCCTTAAAATTATTGACAGCTAAGGACCTAATGTCCCAAGTGTTTTTCATCAATAAACATGCTAGTAAAGTCTTTTCAGGAAATTTTTTTTTTATTGAAATTAAAATTATATCTATTTATTTTTACATTGCTACTACTATTTTAAATTCTCAAGTCATTGAAGATGATTTTGGCCTACACTTTCTGTAATACTTGCCCCAAGTGTTATCCAAAAATCACACATTCAAATAAACTAAGTGTGATTAAGGAGTTGATCCTAAAACTAATTTAAGAAACAAATCATTTAAATCAATAAACAAATACACCATCACAAAATAAACATTTAAAGCCTTTAAAAAAATTTATAGGTTCTACCTATAGCACATGGAAGCAAGCTAGATGAAAGTGGGATAAAAAGATGCTATCATGACAGCATTAACAGCCCTCTCGGGCCAACTTTTGGGAGCTTCCGTTTCTTCATTTGACCTCCGATTGAAATAATTTTAAAGCTCGCACGTCATTTTTAATGATTACTAGTAATGTACCAAATTACAAAACAATCTAATGGTCAGATTAGAATTTAGACACTCTACAAGATTGGATAAAGTTGTTGTCATGACAGCACTTTTGAATCAACTTTCGAAGTGCACAATTTCATCATCTTATCTCCTATCGGAGCAATTTCAAAGCTCACATATCACTTTTAAAGAGTACTATTAGCATACTAAATTTTGAAAAGATTCAACAAACGGATTAAAATTTATACATGTTGCAAATTCAGCCACTTTGCTGTCATGACAGCATTAAATAACTATCATGACAGCACCTCCGAGCCAACTTTCAGAGTACACCATTGCTTCGTATGATATCCGATCGAAGTGATTCCAAAACTCACATAAAGATTATAAAAAGTTTAACTTGTAACCCAAATTTCAGAAAAATCCAACAGTCAAATTGAAATTTGAATATCCGGATGCAAAAGTGTAGTTTTTTAATAAAAACCATTTTCTAAATTGTTCAAATCTCATCCTAATGGTCACAAACCTGTGAGAACACTTTGAACACGTTAAATAAGACTAGGAGTACTTGATAGAACATTTAAATGATGGAAACACCCCTTATATCAAAATTTGACCACTCTGGTGTAATTTCTCAAAATGGACCCTATATTTTCAAAATTTACAAATCACACAAGAGTGGTCAAAACCATTTCAAATATTATATACATATATGAATACACACGTTAAATATTTTTACTTGACTCAGAGATCTAAGTGGGGCCCACACAACCACTCTCTCTATCCAAGGTGTATGTTTACCTATAACATACCATTTGCAATGTAATCACTTTGTATTTGCTTATAGAATCACATATATACCAAAATAAATATTTACTTGTAGTGAAAACTTAGTCTAATAAATAAATTCATTAAAAATACACACCATAACCAAGTTTCCTAGCCACAAATCTACAAGCAGACAAAAATTCATATACAAGCCATACAATCCACACATATTCACACACACACATATACATAATCACTTCTACTTGCACCTTAATCCTAAATACATTACAATAAATTTGCTCAAAAGAAAGGGGTTGCAGTTCTTTACAATCCACAAACAACCCCTAGCTTTGCTCCTTTCCCCGTCCACCACTGGTTCCTTCGCCTGGACCTGAAAATATTGAAAAGAAAAGGGTGGGATAACCACAGTCTCAATAACAGAGAAATCTACATTAATTATTACCAAGTCATAATCAAATAAACAAATAATAGATTCAACATAGTATATAATTTAACCATTTCAAATGCATGAATGCATGATATAGGCCAATATGACCTTTCTTGACCAACAAAATACTCCTTAGCACTCTTTAACTCGCGGGTAAACCTTATATTCACTTGTACCTTCACAGACATAAAACATAACCTAAGGCATGATCGAATTCACCTAACCGTCTGTGCTCCTTCAACGTGAATCTTGAACAGCTGAAACTAACTCCTTCCCAGAGCCAGCCCGACTTACTCTTCATGTGCGGACTATCTTGGCCTAGGTACTCAACCTCACACTTCATATGTCGGATTCCCTCTCCTACTGAGAGGTGTCAAATACTCAATCCACTAATCACTTTAATGCACTAAGCTCACAATACGAAAGGCAACACTAAGCACAGACAATGTGCCATAGAATATCATATCGAGATCATGCCTTTCACTCTTGTTTACTTTTCCCGAGTATTGACCACTTCCACAATCTAAGATAGTATAACAAATATCACTTTTCCTTTAAACGATTCCTTAGCCTCTCTAGAGTACCTAACCTAATTACACTTCTTTAAGTGCAACTTCCATTCTCTATAATTACAATGCATGCAAACAACCTTGTTTCCATAAAAACATTATTATTAAATGAATAGAAAACATATATGCACTATTATCCAAGTAATACCCTATAAATTTTTATAAAACACAATTAATTGCATTTAATCATTTAAAGCATATAATGCATGATAGTTAGTAATATTTATTCAAAAATAACTAAACAAAGCAATAAGAAATATAAATTCCCCTGTTATCTCAACACTATATACTAAAAGGATTTCTCCTTGTACAGAATGAAACTTAGCTTATTCTTTATCTTCCAATTAAGTTCCATCAATAATTTCCTACAACATATAAGTGATCCATATCACTTTTCATAACAAATAGCATTAATAAAGACTATAACTCATACCACACAACTTGAGTCAATGAGCCATAATCCATTCTAATGGTTCATATATTAAACCAACCATTCACATAGTATCACTTAACCACCAAAACCATTTATTAGCCACCATTAGGCTAATTTTCAATTCATATAATTTTTAATCAATTAAAAACCTTCACTTAATGTCACCAACATTTACCATTAGCCCTTATAATGAAAATCAAACCTTAATTTAAATCTTATTAGATTTAAATAACACAATTATAACTAAATCAATAGGCTTAAACCACTGAGGAGCAAAACCCAACCTCTTGGGGTTTGACTTTTGCTTTAAAACTTTATTTTTCATCCAATTGCCTGCTCAAAGCATTAGAGCATCATATAAAAATTCAAAATAACCTCCTAAGGACTCAAGGAAACTAAAGCTTATAAGTATAAAGCCTTTAGGATCAAATTTCATAAATTTTCTCTTCCAAAAATTAAAGAAAACCAAGAGGGAAGGAAGAGAATTGAAGTAGGGAGTTTACCTATTGTGTATTTGAGCTTCCAATGGTCGCAAAGCCTCCTAAATCCAAGTCTAACTTCTTCTCTTCCTCCTCTTTTCTTCCTCTCTTCCATCTCACATTTCTTTCCTTTGGTTTCTTGTTTCATATCTGTGTGAATTTGCTCTTAAAAAACTGATCCAAACACTTTGAAGAAAATTACAAGGAAGGGCCCAACATTTCTTATTATAACACAAAAGTTCGGGTTAACTTTGGTAATTTTTTCATAGTTAAAAATAAAATAAAACTAAACTCTTCCTGAGTAAAATTCAAACTCTGAACTTTTATCAAATTATTCTTAATTTTAATTTAATTATAAATATTTTATTTTTTTAAAATACATCCGAGTCTTAAAATTTTCAGGATGTTACACTTTCATGCCAAACTCAAAAGATAGTCAACAGTACATAAACACCTCATTTGCGTGGATAAATTGCAAGAATAGAAACTTAAAGGGAAAAAATATTATGTGAGAGAGCTTAAGCTTTCTTACCTGAATTATATTTGTTTGTTTTCCTTGCTGGCATAAACTTGGAATGGAAGAGGAGAGTTTTAGGTGATTTTCATCCTCATGAGAAGAACCTCTAGTTCATCAATCTTAAGGCATGCTGTATGGATAGCCATTTCAAACTTGATACGTTTCTTGGAATGAACAAGTGGTTGTTCCTCTTCAACATCTCGAGGCCTCTTCTTTTTCGTCTCCATTTCCATTATTTGTTCATCAAATTTCTCTTTTTTGAGAAATTCACTGCCCTCACCCCACATGCTTTGATACCAATCTTCTTGCACACGTGATTAAACCCAATCCGCACAACAGGACGTTCAATCGAGAATTTAACATAAAGCTTTGTGTCAATATTCGACTCTTTATTTCTTCTTTTGCTAAATAGTTCCTTCACTTTCCCTTGATCAAAGTCAGAAATGCTCCATATGAAAACATGAACAGATTTTGTCTTTGGAGCAAGAAAATCAAACCCCAAATATGTCTTAAAACCTCCCAAGCATAATGCACATTGTATAGCAAAATAAGATTCAATTTCTGAGTAAATGTCAAGAACAGCACAAAAGAACAAGTCTGAATAATCATTATCAGGGCAATCAACAATTACGGAGCTTTGTGCAGCCTCATATTTGAACCACTCTGGCACTTTGTTTCCTGGAAAGCAAAACATAGGACGATGGTTGATCAGTTCAGGAAAACCATAAGAAATTACTTCATAGGTAGCCTCAATGATATTGTGAAGTGATTGTTCAGTCAAGTTCATGCAATTCCCGAATGAGATGCAATATCTTTTGCCATTTTTCAATGATCTGAAAGTTGACACATTCTCCAAGGAAATGCAGTTAGAGGCATCTAGGGTTACAATGGATGGTGGTAGTTCTGGTAAAGAACAAAGCCTTATGCAATTCCTTAAGACAAGACGTTTCAATCCCAAAAGATGTTTAGTATTGTTGGGGAGTTCATTTATGTTACAACAGTTATCCAATATCACTTCATTTAATGACCACATGCCATCAAATAAGATGTATAGCTTCAATCATCAATGACTTCACAATTGGAAAGCTTAAACACCTTCAAACTTCTTAAGCAAGATAATTGGTTTGGAAGGTCGACAAGTCTTAAGCCACTGAGATCAAGCTTTACCAATTCACTCGAGCACCCTATTGACGAGTGTAATATCTCAATTCCTGTTTCAGATAAATCCAATCCCATCAATTTTTTCGATGACAGTGAAAACTCCTTGAGGTTTGAACAGTATCCAACTTCAATAGATTGTAGAGATTTTAAATGGACATCACTTATTAGACTCTTAAGTTTCTTGCACCAATATAAGTCCAATCTAACAAGTGAGTGAAGGGACAAAATTGAAGCATGAATGTAACGTAGACTAACACAACCAGCAAGTTCCACTACCGCGAGATTTGAGGCTTTGGAGCAATTCGGAAGCTCCTTCAGTTCCTTGGATCTCTTAAGGTTTATGATTTTTAAGTTAACAAAATCCTATAACAATAATAGAGAGGGATAGACAGTGAAAATGAGAAAATCATCAAGTTGCAAATAAGCGAAAAACACAAACAGAGCCAAGTTTATACATACATGCACTCCATTCCAAAGCTTTATAACGTGGCTATTGGGCATGTGAAGCTCAACCAGTTTCTCTGGACAAAAAGTTGATGGCATGGATTTAAGTGGGAATCTGCACCACTCTAGATACCTAATTTGATTTGGAAGACACTTGAGGCCTTTTGGAAGATGCACATGGCTTGAGCTATTGTTGGAAGTAGAATAAAATTTGAGATATCTTACATTAGGCATCTTTCTGAAAATGTTGGCTTCCAAATGAACATCTCTAATTTGTGAAACGTTCAATTTGATACCTTGAACTTTGTTTGTTCCCTAAAAATAAGAACAAGAAAAATAGTAAGTAAATCATTTAAGTATGTGTACATATGTGTGTATTAGAAAAGGAATTATATATGTATTTCTTAATTACCGTATCATAGGCTAAGATGTTGTAGATTTCTTTAGGATCCCATAATCTGCTACGTCTTTCAGGTTTATCAATAGATTCTTCGCGGACAATTTCAAAGCCCATTTCTTGAATCAAATCATGCATTTCTATGGGCTGGTGATCATATTCAGCATTTATAAGAGACTTATCATGAAGTATTCTTATACCAATACGTCCATGGAAGTCGTAGCTGTCCAACAAGCTGATCACATGTTCTTTTGACATTCCCTTCAAAAAGCATGCAATATCTAAAAATATGTTCTTCTCTTCATGATTCAATCCATCATAACTCAATCTCAACACTTTTTGAATATCTTCATGAGGAATCTTTTGAAGCCTTTTTAATGCACTATTCCATTCAATTTTACTTTTGCCATGGAGAAATGAACCCAAAACTTTCAAAGCCAGTGGAATTCCTTTTGCATAAGCAACTGCTCTTCTTGTTAGCTCTTCAAATCCCATTATAGGAAAGTTAGTGTTGAAGGCATTCAAGCTAAAAAGTTCAAGGGATTGACGGAACTCCAATTCCTTAACCTTATATATTACCTTAACTCCTTTGCTAAGCACATGCTTGTCTCTAGAAGTGATGAGAATTCTACTTCCTCGACCAAAGCAAAGAGTTTCTCCAACCAAGCATTCCAACTGCTCTAAAGAATTAATATCATCAAGAACAACAAAAACTTTCATACGACTAAGCCTTGACCCAGCAAAAGTTGTTGAAGTATCAATAAAGAGATCTTCCTTTAGTAGGCAGGAGAGAAATTTATGACGTAAATCACCAAATCCATACTTAGAATTTTCCCTTACATTTGCCAAGAAGCAAGAGCCTTCATAATGGGAGGAGTACCTCACAAATATAGTTTTGGCAATGGTTGATTTGCCAATTCCCCCCATGCCCCAAATTCCTACGGTTTCAAAATCTCTCAACAGTAATTCTACTTCTGAGCAATTGTCATCAATTCCTACAAGTCCTTTCAATTCAGCAGGTGGGTACTTGTAATTCAATTTTCGCAATATGTCTTTGATAGTCTTTTGAATTAATTCAGATTCATCCCTAAGATGCAAAAAATAAGAGCAAAAAAAAGAAAGAAGGAAAAGCCAAAATCAACCACAAGTAATGATAAATACTTAACTGTATGATAAATTAACTAGTGTACATATGAGGAATACATAAAAATGATTTAAAATTGAACAGGATGCCTTAATTATGTTACTTGACCTATCCATCACACAAATCACTACTATATACTGCGATCATTTTTAAATAGAAGAAAATGAATTTATAATTACCTAAATGCGTGAGAGTCCCAACCAGCTAAGTTTGCAGCCTCAGTGAGAGCTTCCTTCCATATTTTAACCTTGTGTTGGTTGACCTTAAGATCTCTCTCATATTTCTCAAATGCTTGTTTGTAAAGCCCAGTCTGGTTGCGAACATGAGATGGCTCAACTTTATAGAACACAGGAATCACAATCTGCCCTTGAACTCTCTTGCGATGAACTATTTGGGTGAGTTCTTCCAAGCACCATCTTGAAGAAGCATAATTTTCAGAGAAGACCACCACAGATGCAAAGGAATCCTCTATTGCTTTCATAAGTGCTGGTGAGATCTCATCTCCTTTGGGAAGTTGGTAGTCTATGTACGTTTTGATGTGTTTTTGACAAAAAGCTTCATAAAGATGGCTAGTGAAGTTGGTGCGAGTGTCCTCACCCCTAAAGCTGATGAATACATCATACTTTTTGGGAACGAATATTTGAGCAGAGGAAGAGGATGAACCAGCATCAAGGGCCATATCTATCTGATCAGCCAAAAGCAAGGAGAGAAGCACTATATGGTGTATTAATTGATAAGTCTGAAAAATCAGAGAGATGTCAGAAGACGAAGAAGGAACCCACGCGGTTTTCTTTTTGAGTTTTGAACTTTTGATAAGTGAAGGATGGACTTGATGAGCGACGACAAGTCAAAAAGTTAGGTTATCCTTTCACAAGATATGAAAACAAGCTAGGATTATTAAAGACTAAATATATAGATGGGTTCTTACTTGGAAGTGTGAGAAGAGAGAAAATAATAAATAACATCTTTATCAAGATATCAATGACAATTAAAAAGCTTAAATTATCAAAATGACAAGGACCACTATCATTATTCGCAGTTAAAAGTCAAACATTTAGCAAATGGAGTGTTACTCAATAGAAAAGCTAATTGTGAATTTAAAAAAGGTTATTTGTGATAGAAAGTTAATTTGTGAATAAAGTTGGAATCGGGTAATATATGTTGGTCTGAATAACTAATTATAAAAATTGAGTTGGGTTAAAAAACAATTGACCTAAATAAAAATAAATTTTTTTGGCCTAGACCATATAATTCGTAAATTATATAGGTTAATCATGATGAGTTAGAGTTAGCCCGTTTAACCTATATTATTTTTTAAAAAAATTAAAAAAAAAAAGAAAAAAGGAAAAAATTTTGTGAATATAAATTATATTAGACATGACTTATTTAGCTGGATCAATTTATATATTTTATACAAATATTATAAATTAATATTTTGATATATTTAGAATGAATCATAAAAGAATATCAAATTAAAATTTATTATTTAGGTGTATTTTTTAAAAAATTATAAAAAAAATAAATTAAAAAATAAATAAATGGGTTGGTGGGTTAGCCCATTTAACCCGCCAACCTTTTAAGGGGTTGAAATTTTTTTAACCCATATAAAAAAGAGTTAAATTCAACTCATGTAACACCCTAAAATTTTTTTTTTAAACAATTTAACTCAACCATGATAAAAAAGTGTCTATCATAGTAAATAGAAGTCAACTTATTTTCAAAATAATTTAACTCAACCATGATAGAAAAGTAGCTACCATGATAAACAAAAATTAACTTATCCTATATATTTTTTTTGAAACAATTTTATAATTTAAAACACTACAATGGTAAGAAACAATAAAATATAGCCTTATAAAATACTTCTTCTTTTAAATTAACTACCATGGTAGAAAAGATTAAATTCCTTTTCAAATAATACAAAACAATTTTATACAACTAATATACATTTACAACCAAAGTTGGGTTACAGCCACCCAACACATTTTATATCAATAAATTTAATATAAAAATTTTATAATTGGCTTAAGCTTGCACAATACAACATCTCAGATAAATTTTTACCTCCCACATGCTATTAGACTAAAACCACATTTTCCATCCTCATACCCCCAACAAGTGCAAACCATATACCAATAACTAAAATAAACAACTTAATCAATTTCCAAAACAAATCAATTATTTGACCTCATAATCATGCCATTTCAAACTATCCAAAATAAATCAGAGATCAAAGTTACAGTCATCCAAAGTGTACCAAAAGTAGAAATAGTTTGAAGGGCATGATTACATCATTACATTCATATAATTGTCAACAAACAAAAAGTCTTAGTATTGGCAATATAACACATTAAAAATTATAAATCAAATATCCAAAAGAAACAGTGGATCTATGCCACTAAGCCTCAAGGACTCCTTCACGCGCCACTCGTGGCTCTTCTCCTGAAAATTATTAACCACATAATGAGACTCAAAAGTTCCAGTAACCAATGTCAATTTATGATAGTGTATACAAACAGTTAAATGTGTGCTTGCTAAGTGGGAAACCAACAATAATATAATTTCAACAAAATACAAGAAATATTACAATGCATAACAAACAACCATTCTTATTTCTCTTCATTAACCTCGAGCCGTAGTCCTCACTCGATGCTAAATTACTCGGCCAAAGGTAGATTAGCCCGAGCCCTTACAAGCTACCTACTGGGCTCCAATAAGGGCGTACCACGTGGCACATAAATACAACAATAATAACAAGTCTCCCAACATCTCCCACAATAATTAAACAAATTCATAACAATATTGCACAATTATACAATATTACAATTTTCACAATTTCTCATTTTCAACAATATTTCAATATGACATCCCATTTGGCAAAATAATTCAAAATGCATATCCACAATTTCACAATTTTTTCATAAACATAACAAGGTAATTTCTCAACAACAATTCATATTTTCTTAATAATCACCCAATTAACATGAAGCAACACTAAGCACAAATTAAAAATATGGTTACCTCGTGGCTTTTTCAATAAATTATTCCTTATAATTTCTCTCCCACCACAATCTTCACTAACAACACAATCTACAAATAACATATTATTTATAAATATTAGTTTCAATTGAAACTAATAAAATAACTCTAATAAGAAAATTAGAGAAAATAACATAATTTTTAACTTCAATCTTAATACAAATCTAGAGTTAGTACTATTAAGTGAAATTTTTAACTCCTTTTTTAGTCATCAATAAACATTAATAAACTAAAATCAATCTCTAAACCAATTTCTATTATCAAATTTTTCTTTTTATTTCATAATTCGCACCTAAAATACTCAAAATTAGAAATTGAGTCTCAAGCTTAGAATCATCATCCTATAGTCATAATAATCCATTTCTCATCTCAAATAATCATTTAAACCTCAATAAATTAACATATATTTCAGATTTAATAAAAATCTAGCCTAGGGTTTGATCCATAAGCCTCAAATTCAAAGCTCACTAACAAATTTATACTCTAAAATATTTATTATACTACTAACAATCTCAACAATCACATTTATTCAACATAAATTTATCCTTCTTCCAATTCTAAATTTTCACCATCACAAAAATAAAAAATGAAAGGAGCTAGATGAATAAAAAAAATTTTAGAACATTTATTTAATCTTAAAAGGCTTGAAATCTCACCCTAAATATCTTATTAAAAAATTTCACCTTTAAAATATAGCTCCCCAACACCAACAAACTCGCGCATTGTTGTCCTCTCTATTCGCGCACGAAGAGAAATGAGGAGGAAAGGAGAAATGAAAGGAAAAAAAGGATGTTTATTTGTTTTAAAAAGCATTTATAGGTCCCACATTCTTTTTCCTTTCTTCTTTCTTCTTTTTTTTAATATATATATGTGTGTGTGTGTGTGTACATCACACTATCAGAGGACGCGGAAAACGTTCCCCCCCACTCCTTTATTCTTTTTTTTTTTATTTTTTTTAATTCCTAAATGCACACACACATATAGTTATATTTCATTTCTCAATCTCTCTTTCTATTATATTTCTCTTTCTTCTTTTCTAATAATAAGAATAATAATAAATAATTTTTAAATTTTAACTTAGATTATATCTTAAGCTAGATTTAATAATCATTTTCTACTAATTTGCTTATTTTTAAATATTTTTTAAAATTTCTATTAACCCAAGTTAGCTATTAAAATTTAAATTGAGATGTTATAACCCAACTCATATTTCTCTCTCAACCCATACGGGCCAACTCATATAGGTCTGGTTAGCCCATAATCCACCTCTATTTGTGAATGAATGGAGTCTCATAACTTTACGTATCACCACTTATAAATTTAAGGATGATCACTTTGTGAATTTTAAGATATACTCCATTATCCTTATATATAAGATATTTTAACTAAATTATATAAATAAATAAAAGTTGATTATCTACTTAAAACCATAGCAATATTATAATTTTGCCCCTAATTATTATAAATAATAAATGAATCTCTTTTTTCCTTCCCATTTATTAAAAAATATGCTGACAAGTTCTTATATTTAGGGACAAAAAATATTCTAAAAAATGTTTTATATATAGCAACAGATGGAGTATAGTCATTTGTAAATATGAAAAGGCAGTTGTAAATAATACTCCTGCATTTTTCTAAGGTAAAATGTTAAAAAATATAAGATATTTTGGGTTTTTCAAAATACAATTAATAATAATTTTCCAAAAACACATTTAATTATGGGGTGTAATTAATAAAATTTTCTAAACAAGACACTCTATTAAATAAGGGTGAATATGGAAAGGATGTATAATTTTAAAGATAATTAACTAACTCATGGTATTGTAATTCAATTAAAGTGTTTTATAATACTAAAGGAAGGAAGTAGCAAATGAAAGATTACTTGTAAATTTAAGGAAAGTTGGTTATAAAATTTAAGAAATGACACTTTAGGATTAATAAAAATTTAGCTGTGAATCAATAAATTTATATATATCATGACTTGTAAACTTAAAATAGTCACATGTGATCAGAAACGTTACTTTGTGAATTATAGAAAGTTTTACAATTAACTTTTTATTAATTTATTAGTGACTTTTCTTAAATTCAGGAGTAAGTTTATATTGGCTATTTTTTTTTTCAATTATAAATAAGGACTGTGATCCTTTTCCTCATCATTTCAATAATTAAAGATCTTCAAATATTATTAATATTTTCGAAAAGTTGTTATTTATCTTTTCCTGTGTGAATTTGCAGGGTATTGGGGGTGTATATATATCTCGTGGGAAAATGATTTTTTGCTTCTCCATTATTTCATTTTTGGCAATATTACAAATATGGAAAATGCGATAACAGTGAAATATGCATTTTCTCGGGTTCATTCTCTAACAAACAATGTTATATTCTATGCAACAAAGCAAAATATTAAAGAATCAACAAACGGAAGATCAAGCTTGTTGGTAGTATGGAGGCAAATTAGAAGTTGTTTGAGTCATGCTGGAGAACACTATTCTTAAAAATTATTTTGACACACTAGTACGGTGGACCGGCAATTCCTCAGAATTAAACAAGCGTGTCTTGCAAAACGCAAGAGCACAGAACAACAAACACTAGAAAACTCAGACAAACAACAAGAGAAGTTGAAGGAGGAAAGAAAGCCTCAAAAACTCAAGAGGTAGGTGAATTGTTTTGTCTGCATGCATGCCTATATATAGGCTAATATCCTGGATGAACGTTGGAGCTGCAATCATCGGATTAACTACACCATTAAACCTCAATTACAAGAATATAATTTCCATTAAGCACTGGGTCGTTGGGGGGACAAAACGATAATGAAAGTTGATTAATAAATCTGCTGAAGAAATGGTTTAACACCTAGAACCAGCCAAGGCTTGAATTCAAACTTCAAACAGTAAAAATTTGAGGTTTTCTGGTAAGCTCATAAAAAATAATTATTTATTTTTTTGCAAAAATAATTCAATAAAAAAGAATCCAGTGCCTCTTGAACTCACTTGAAGGGGGGCAAATCAGCTGTTTTCAACTGTAAGTGCCTTGAGTTGGCTTGTTTCGTGCGCGTGAGCTCACTTCTCCTCTAAGCCTATTTTATTAGCCCATTTCATTCTTTAGTATTTAGGAGCACTTTTCATTTAAGCAATGTGACACTTTTTTTGACACACACACAATTACTACAACAAAGCTCACCAAACCTAAAGACCAAGGAGATGAATGCTCTACATATATATATCCTTGATTACATTTATAAATTACTTTTAACATATTTCATAATCAAAATCAAAGAAACTTTAAAACTAATTAGTTATATCTAAAAATTAATAAGTCCTCAACTTTAACCCATTAAATATATATATTTTAACAATATATTTTTCTCTCATTAACATTCAAGAGAGCATAAAGGGAAAAATTTTAATAAAAATTTAATCATGTGACTTATAAATAAAATTTTAAAAAAATTTCTTTCGGCTATATAAATAGAATAGAAAGGAGTATGATTGACCTATTAAAAAAAGAAGTTTACGAGATTGGGTGTTTTCGGTTTTGAAAATTCGGAGTTTCTTGGTTTGAAAAGCTCAATAAATGCGTTAGTTTGGTAAATTCTATAGACAAATCAATGCTATTTTCGAAAATAATTAATGTAACATTTGAATTTTTTTAAACTCTAACAGTTGACTTAAATTAAAAGTCATAAAGTTTAGTTACAGGCTGAATTCCATTCACACCGCAATGGTGCGTCGAAGTTTCCAAGTTGATTAATAAATTAGTATTACTCTCTGTTCATGTTTATAAAAATAAAAAAGTTATAAAGAGAATAAAAAAAAAAGAAACAATCTTCTAGTTTTACCTTTTCAATTGAAAAAGCATTTACATAGAGAAAAAGTTAATTTATTGCCTTCCTTTAATTAATAAAGATATAATTAAAAAGTAATGACATTTTTAATAAATAAAACAATGTTTTAATTAAAACACACGTGTAAAATATCTTCAACGCCTTAAAAAATAGAACAAAAGGTGAAAAAATGTTCTAGTTTTATCTTTTCCCTTGAAAAAGCATTTGCATATATAAAAAGTCTGATTTCTGTAGCTAGATCAATATATTATAGAAACCTATTCTAAAAGTACATCCTTATGAACAGTAACCGAGGGTAAGGTTGGCATTTTTCAGAGATGGCATGCAAGGCTCCGCCCCTTCAATTACTTCGATTCGAATGAAATGGGGGTATTTTTGTCATTTTTTATTCTACGCTACATGACAGAAATTTTTTGTACTTTTGAATACGAGTGGCCATGTGATCTCTCTTATGTGTGGGGCAGGAAAAGAAGCACGTGGCAGGCAACTTTTTCTTTCTTCGAACCAAGACCCTCTCTTTCTTAGAAGTCTATTCCAAAAAATGATCTTATGAACCTAACCAGGGGTTTTTTTTTGGGATTTATTAGACTGTAAAATTGGAACACTCCTCTCCTCTCGCAAAATATGAAGCACGTTAGGACATTTCTGGTTTAACACACTTTATCAGTAAAAAGTGAGAAGCATCTGATGCAGATTTGAATGATCTTTTATCCTCTGATTCCTTCAATTTCTCTGTCTGAAGCTAGCATCCCTTATACTCAATAATAATGGACGAAAGTGATATTGGCCTCTTCATGAAATCTCTGTACAAGTATTAATGCACTCTCATTTACCCATTCCCAAAAAAATAAAAAACTAGCGTCTCGACGCCTTCTCACATCTGTGCCTTTGGAATCTGAAAGCTCCAAGCCTCCACAAAACGCCCATCATCCCCTCTTTCCTCTCCAAGCGACAATTCTCATTTCGTTCAATCCGACAACATTCTCGAGCTCCACCCCTTTTCATAATCAACTTCGCGAGCTCTTCCCCCTTTCTTCCTAAGTCTGCAACCATCGACCATCGAATCTCCATCATCTCCTTCTTCAGCCTCGTCTGTCCTTGCTTGTCGCATCCACAAATGGCTGCTTCCAACTTTAAGCTTTAGCAGAAGATCTTCCTTACTGTTTTTTCTCAAGTGTGTTCAATCTGTTGACCTTCTGGTGTTTGACGCTCAAGTCAGTTCGTACTTTCATCATTTTCTTTTCCAAACTAGATGAACTTCTGGTGTTTGACGCTCAGGTCTGTTTCTTTTTAGAGTGTCTGCTTGATTGCCTCGACCGCTCCAGTGAATGTGCGACTCTAGAGATTGCTAACAGAGTAGAAGCCTCAAGATTGGTGTGCCATCGAAGGACTCATTCGAGACCCACACCTAATCCTAGCAGCTTAACAAGCAAATCAGCCTACGAAATGTTGAGAGATTTCACATTCAGGGCTGATGGAGACGAGAGAATTGCTAGCAGAAAGAGCTGAGAACTTCCTGATTTCCTTGAAGCAGAGGTTCTTAGGTTTAACTCAATGTCACCTAGACACCAGCAAGATCCAATGCAAAAAGGTTCCAACATAAACTCTCGATGAAAATTGTTTTTTCTTTATTTAAAACAAGATCCATCTTTCAAATTTCAAATGACTCATCTTGAATAATTTTAGGACATGGGCAAGTCTCACTTAAAAGTTCTCTCATTGGTAGTGTCTGGCTCTGTGGCCTTTGATTTGTCTTTAGTCACAAAGCGTTTCCTGTGGATTTTTTGTGATTTCTTACTTGGCTTTTCCCTCTCTTTATTGTAGTTCTTTGCAATAACGATTTCATGGGTTCTCCATCATTTGTGGATGAAAACAACATTTTTGAATTGAGTGTGATGATAATTTGATAGTATAGTTCAGTTTTTTCACTCCCTAAATGTTAACGAAGCATGCTTAAGGTTCTTTCTCTCGGCTACAGGAAAGAAGGAAGATGATGAAGTAACTTTGATAGGAAAGAAGAATGGGATTAAAGTTTCTTCATTGACTTTTGAGATTGGGCACGAAGGAAGAAGAAAATGTTAAGGCTTATTACTTTTAAGTTGAGGAGTAGATTCACAAGGCTTATTGCTAGAAGGTGTGATTTTGATCAATACGCCATTCCTTTGGTTTTTCTTTATACTTTCTTTGGTTTGTTTTCATTGGTTGCTGAGGTGTATGAAGATTTTTTTGTCAGTTTTCATTTTCTTATTTTTAGGAACTATAGTTCTTCAACTATATAAGTAACATAGTTATTTATATTGAATTTCTTCTGTCATTTTTCTCTGAATCTGGTCTTTGCTATTTTATTTATTAGTCAAGCTGTAATGCCTATTTTTGTGGCAACCACATTGGTGTGTTAAATTTAACGCCATGATGGAGGTCAACTTCTTTGTTCTTCCAGTTCTCTTACGCACTTATTTCTTTGAGTGTATATCAACTCTATGCGATGGTAAATCTTGAACCTTCTCTCTCATTGTGACATTATAGCTCAAATTTATCAGATGTAAAAGCTGAAGCAAAATCAGTCCTAGAAGCTGGAAGATTATATTGTATTGTCTATAGAGTTCTTAACCTTTTCAGGCTATTTGAGAAAATATTATATATTGTGAGTTCAACTAAAATTAATACATGTTCTTGCAATGGCCTTTCAAATAATGAATTTTACTTTGGAGAATATCTATGATCATTTTAGGAAAACTAATTTTTTGTTATTTATAGATAAAGTTTAAATCTTTAGATATCATTGTCGATGGTTTGACAAAAGCTGCCATTTTTTTTTAGTAGGGTCATGCTAGGTAGCACATAATCATTTTTCTGGGTGGCTTTAGTAAATGGGAAACTTTATATATCTCCATTTTGGTGATATATTGTTTTAAACTTTTGATTGTGGCTTTCCAATTACATGCGAAGTCAATTTTCAAAAAAAAAAAAAAATTCTGGATTGTTACACTTTCAATCTAGAAAGATGAAACTTTAAAAGATTAGTTTTAAAATGTTATGTCAGGGTGATGAGTGGTTACTATCAGATCAAGTCTCAGGCTTCTTTTACTTTCTAGGGTGATTTGTTATGCCCTTGTGAGCTCTCTTAAATCATATTCATTTCTTTTTCGTTTTGGGGAAAATCTATTACTTCTTATATGTTAGCTTCGAGGTAGCAAGACTACTCGAGTTCTTTGAATTGGTGAGATAAGTTATTAATGAATCTATAAATATATATGTACAATTTTTTCTTAGATAAGTTATATCTGTACTTTCATACTTCAAAAAAAGGGTTATATATGTACCCACTTTTATCTAATGATATCTGCTGTAGAAGTGCATGCTTTCACTTCTGTTTTTATCAAGACGATAAACTTAAATGGCATTTTCATGCAATCTCAGTCTGGTAGCTTTCCCTTTGGTCTAGGGCAACATGCTTTTGGTTTGTCTTGTATGGCTTTGTTATACATTTCATTTCATTTGAATATGTTTCACCTTCTTGGAAAAGGAGTTTTTCTCAAGGATCAATTTTGCATTGTATGTTTTTCAGTTTTTTAGCCTTTGCATTTGTTATTGTGATAATTGTTTCTTTCAGTTTAGTCTCATTAAATGACTCAGTTTTCATTAACTGCAGAAGCTATGAATGCGGACATAAAGAGAGACAAAGACCAAATCGCCTCAAACCTAAATTAGTAAGTCTAGCAAGACAAAGCCATTAATAAATGGTGTACCTGAGATTTCTTTCTTTTAATTTCATATAATGGACAATTTACTTTCACCTCATTTTAAGACATTATTTAACTTCCTTAGTTTGTATTTTCCAACATGACAGAAAAGCATGCGTTTGCAGTAGTTCAAATGCTCCAAAAGTGACACTCAAACTGACCGTCAACATCCTAACCTTGCTGGGAGCATTGTAGAAATGATTAGAGAAATTCTGGCTGGGAAACACCTTTGTAGGTTGTTGTTTAGTGGTCTTTAGTGATAGTTAGAAGCTATTATGTTTTTTTCTGCCAAATGTTTACGTTTCTAGATGTAATCTTTGTTTTACACTCATGTAGTGACCCTTATAATCAATGTATTTAAATACTATTTTGACAATGATCATTTGATAATTGGCAATGTCAACTATATATGTAGGCTATACTACATGAGGTAGATAGCATATTAATGGTATTAGTTGGTGTACCTAAATTCCATGTTGCTATTGGATATTAATGAATATACAAGTTTAGACGTGGCTTATTATTTGGTGCTTATCAATTAAGGTAATGGTTTTGCATATAATAAGCATATTTATTTAACATGTGAACTACAAATCCTCGTATGATTTAATTTCATGTTGGCACTCATCATCTATTATTTTTCCAATATACTTTGGATGGCTTAATTTAGGTCATAGTTCAGAAAGTCAGAATGTACCTATGATTGTATTTGTCAGTTAGTAGTTAGATTTAGAAAGTTGTTCATACCAATAATGTACCTATCATACTTCAATTAAGAATGTTGATAAAAGTAAATATATGAAAATGTTAGTCTATAGAGAAGATTTATTATTTAAAACTACAAGCCACATAGGATCATGTTGTTAGACTACGTTTTACATGTTGGTATATGCTTAGAATTTGAGTGCTGTTGCAATCTCCGTTATTCTGACTTGTAATTTCTATGGCATTTGATGGTGACTTAATTCACTCAAGAAATTGTGATGTGAATGATTCTGTTCAGGCTTTATGTAGATTCTAACTTGTCCTTTCACAACTCTGTCCTATTATATTTTATTTTTAAGCCTACATTTATAGCTGGTCATTTCTTATCCTTTAATTTAAATAATTCATAATTTTAATATGTTTGAAAATCTTTATTGTATTATACACTAATTAAATTCTGTCAAGTGTTCACTCTGCAGATAGAGTGGTCAAGGTTTAGTTGCATGACCTTTGATTGTTACTATTAACCACTGTGCAACTTTGCAGGTAATAAATAATTACATTGAAGTCTGTGTGTATGAACTTTTTTGCACTAAGTACGCAGTGGTTAATAGTCTTACTTTTCTATTTTTGTCCATGTAATCCCTATTGATATGACATGTAGATGTAATATGGTTTTCCCCTGCGATAGTATTATACTTCATGTTAGAATGGTGGAGAAGTTGAATTTTGGTTTCTGTGAAAGTACATTCATGTCGACATGACATGTATACTAATTAAGGGTTAGTACCTGCACATCATTTGTGCTGTCTGACAACTTTTTCTTTCACACTTAAGGACTTTTGAGGTATCAATGCATTCTTGATTTTGAAAATGCTTTCCATTCACTTGTAAAATTTTAATACCCAACATATTTGTGTATTTTAATTATTCTGGATTCTTAATCTGCCTGTAATAAATATTTAATATTTTAATATGACAATGAAATTGGTGTCAAGCTCTTCTACTCATGCCCTTTTCTCAGTCAGGAAAGTAGTTGCTAGGTAACTTATGTCAGAATAGCAACTTCCTCATATATCTTACTTTTTCTAACATTTTGCGTGCATATAGTAATTTAAAAATAATTTTCATTCATGTTTATTTCAATAACCTAAATTATTAACATGCCTTAGTTAATATTTTAATATTTAAATAGCAATCTCACATTGCTGTCAAGCTCTTTTACTTTAACTTCTTTATCATGGTCTGAAAAGTATCTCCATGCTAACATATGTCAAAACAGTAATTTTTGTCTTTATCTTAGTGTTTTCTCAAATACTATCATAATTGTCATCTGTTGTCATCATTAAATGATTATCTATTATATAATTAAGGGTTTCACTTCATTCGTGTCCTTTTTGTGTGGCCTAACATTTATTTTACACATTTCAGGAGGCTTATCAAATGTGCATGCATTTAATAATTTCAAATTACCTTCAATTCAGGTGTGTTCTGACCTTGCTGGATTATTCAGATGGTTTTATTAATTATTTAATAAGTTAAATAGCAGCATCAAATGGTTACCACCCTCTTCTATTATACCAAATATTTTTTCTTCGTCTGACAAGGACTTGCCTATTAACTTATTTTAAACAATTATTTCCTGACTTATCTTAGTTATTCTAATACAACGATGAAAATTGTTTAGAAACCTTGCAGTTACTTTATATAGAGTTGCTTTTCTGTAGTCTTACATATTTTTTTCCCACTGTAAATGAGTAGCATTGAATGTTCACACATGTTTTTCTCAAAATAATTTCCATTGACGTGTTACACTTGGCTACCTAAAATCTTTATGTATTTAATTGTTATGAATGAATAATATGCCTTTCCATTCACGTCTAATTTGCCATGCATTTACTTTATATATAGTTGCTTTTGTGTAGTCTGACATCATTCTTTTCACAGTAAAGGAATTTTATTACATTTTAACACATTTTACTTTTCAGAACACTTTCCATTCATGTGTAAAACTTAAATACTGAAAAGCCACAATATTTTTTTAATTCATATGAATTCTTAATCTGCCAAGCTCTTCTACTCATGCTATTTTTTCAGTCAAGAAAAATTGTTGCCAGGTAACTTGTGTCATGATAGTGTTTTCCTTCTATATCTTAGTTAATCTGACAGTATGATGCTATTAACTTTTCTGTTACTTTTTCCCATACTCTCAACAGCTATAAGGAAAAAATAGGTACTCTAGGCATCCTGAATCTTTCCTTGTTGGAATTACAAAAAGCTATCACTTTATCATGATACATTCCTGGTTATATGCTTGAGGCGTAATTACTCATGCTTTTACTTGTATTCTTATGACACTTTCCGTTCTCGTGCATATCTTAGGAACGATGAAGATTTTGTCTGATAGTAATATAAAGTTTGCTTTTAACATTGCAACAACTTTTTTCTGACAACTTTAAACTTGCTGTCACTTAATTACAATACTCTCTGTAATTGTTGAACAGAAAAAAACTCTGGAAAATTATATAGGTCAACAATTAGGAACTATCTTTCTTTATTGGAATTATAACTTATTACTTTACCATGATACTTTCCTGATTGTATGCACAAGTCATTCTTTTTCTTGCTTTCCCTTTCATTGTTATAACTATTTCCATTTCCTTGTATATCTTAGGAAAGAGGAAAATTTTTTTCATTTAGCAATTGAGGATTCATCATGGAATCTGATACATTATCTCTGCCTGGAATAAAAGGTGTGCTGCCACAATGTTTTATACAGTTAACTTTTTTTCTAAAATGATCAATACTGCCATAGCAGAACCTTTTCCCCCTGCTCTGTTAATCATGTAAAGTTGCATTACCCAAACATTTAATTTTAAACAAATTATCCTTAATTTTAAATAACTTCTTATTCCAGATATGTTAACATCGATTTTGAAACAGATCTGAATAGGACTTACCTAACAAGCTAACAAAGAACAATAATTTCCTTCCACACTATCCTTTATTATCTATAATCACCTAACACTGACAACTTCCATGATCATTTATTATCTAATTAACTACATCCCAAAAGTTATTATTGTTGTTATCATAATTACTATGACTTACACTGATAATAAGTTTGTCTTACAAGAAAAATTATGACTCTTTATTATCTCTAATATGCCAACGAACAAAAATTCTATAGCTAGAACTTATAAATAACTGCATTCTTCATCTAGCTAGAACACACATCTCCTTTCTCATCTACACTTGAAGTTTCATCCAGTCTCGCAACAATGGCTCATGTTTCATCCATCAGTAAGCTGAACGATAGTACTGATAGATGGAGGATCTTAGTTCGTGTGGACAGAAAATGGAATGTATATCATAAGACATCACTAAACGAACTTTTCTGTGTTACAATGGTGTTAGTTGACAAGGAGGTATGATTATTCAAAAGTATCATTTCTTACATTTATTGTCATTTATTCATCTCCTGTGATGGTAATCATCTAATATTCTCAAGGCAATAAAATTCAAGCAAGTGTGCTACTAAAAAGCTTGCTTGATCAGTACAGGCAAACTCCTGTTGAAGGAGAAACATATTTCATTGCAAACTTTGTCCATTCATCAAATACCAATACATTTAGAGCCACCACTTACCCTTTCAAGATCAACTTCACACAAACAACATACATTTTGGGTCAAGTTGTAAACATCCCTGTCCACTGTTATTCATTTCTCCCATTAGCTGATATAATCAAGGTGGATGAGGGGAGTAGTATACCACATTTATTTGGTGCGTATCATTATTTATCTGGAAATACTTTTATATTATTAGACTTAATGTAATTTTATTATATTATTCTGTTTTGAGTTACTCTTGAATATAATTATTTATGGCTTAAAGTTCATTTAATTCTTGATGTTTTCATGCCCATGCAGAAGTGTATGGATTTGTCAAATCGATGGGACAACTTGAGGAATATTGCCGTGACCATGAAACAAAGCATAAATTGAGAATGGTCATTACCGATAATGAGTACATCCTTACAACCCTTAATCATTCTATTTTTTCCTTTGTTTTTTAATTATTGAATTCATGGTATGCTTAAATAAATCAAAATGATTTATTATTGTTCTACCATGTTTTAGTGACAATGATGTAAAGTGTATTTTTTTTTGACGAGTGCTCAACCAATGCTTTTATGGGTCAGCTGCAAATTACAGACAGCCTACTTGTGGTTATTATTAACTACTGTAGAGTTGGATTTTCTGAGGAAGGTAAAACATTTTCTTTACCTTGCTAATTGTTAATACTGTTATATCATTGTTTACCGAGTAGCTGTTAAATTAGGCATAAACTTTATGATATTGATTTGTCATAATTCAGTGATTAATTCAATATTCACATTCACAATTTAAAGTCCTTGTACGATGATCACTAATGTTTCTCATTGATTAATCAACACCAAGACTGCCACAAATTTGTAGCTCTTTTAATGCTACCGGAGTATTGTATAATCCTCCAATTAAATAAGTGAAAGATCTTATGCATAGGTGATTTCTGTTCTCATTTAACTTCATACACTTTCATCTGATATTTTATTAATTATTCATTGGTAGGCAACTATCCTTATACGTCTAATAAAATTGACATATTAAATCTCCATCTTTAATTCAACTTTCAATCCAGTGAAATCTTATATTTTTTTTTCTTATGACTTAATCTTTTCCTTTCATTTTTTCTAATGACTGATTCATTTCTTTTTTAATTATAGGGCAAGGGACCAATCATCCCCAATCCTAACAGTAGGAACATAACCCTTGACACCTGCTTCTACTCAATCATCTGGATCAAGCATGATGCACAATACACAGAAAATAGATATTGCCCAGATTCAGGACCAGGAAATGGTAAGAAATTATTAAATAAGGAAGTCTGATTTTTACATTCATAATGGTTAAACACCACTAATAGTTTATTTATTACAGAATTCCAGTTTCTTAATTCATGGCACAATTATGAAGCTAGACACTCGTCATGGATGGAATTACGATGGATGTACTAAATGTGCTACAAAGACCATTGAACAGAATGATTCTACTTATTGTCCCCACCTGCAAAAAGAAACCTGATTCAGTTGAACCAAAGTAAATAAATTTCTTTATACTTGAATATTTATTGGACTATTTTCATTTTAGATAATAATATAATTTAATGATCTATTATTGAGTTTTATTTGTTTGCTTTATTCATTTTTCGTGAGTATTGAATCTAAGCTGTTGAGAAATGTATTTTCATTTCAATTACATTATTTATTTATTAACAATTATATCATTAAATTGAATCATGATACTCATATTTAATCATTAGAATAATGAATCAATGTTTACATAATCCTATAATCACAAATGCAATGACTTAAAACTGTTAGGTTGAAGATTCACTATACTATGGAAGACGAGACATGAAAGGTTACTGTTGTATTTTGGGACAAGCTAGCTGTGCAACTTCTTCATAAGACTGCAGCTGAATTGAAGGCCATTCTTCATGATGTAGATGTTTATAAGTTTTTCTCATTTATTTAAAACATACACTATTGCTTTATGATTTGGTTTTTGACTTTATGTAATTACAGGACAAATGCACATATGACTTTCCTGATGAATTGGACAACCTGATTGGCAAGAAAATGATTCTTAAGCTTAAGATTAATGCATACAACAAGAAGTATTCAAACTCAAGCATAAGTGTCACTCAATACACTGAATGTGGTGATTTAATGAACGAATTTATAGAAGCTAATGATGAGGTGATTGTATTTAATTCCTATATTATTATATTGCAACTATACTATCATGGAATTTTTCTGATACATATCTTTTCTTGATAATGGCGAAAGCAGAATCTAAGGTGCGAGCAGTGAGGCTATCAAGTCTTGCATGCTTTCTTAGTTTTGTTTTTCTTTTTGTGATTATCTGTTGTTAATTTAAGAAGAATCATATAATATATTAGTATACTTTGACTAATGTAACTATGTTCTTTTATTGTTAAAGCAGGGCCACGTGGAGGATAATTCGAAAGAGGTCATATTCCATTTATACCTATTATTGAAAAATTTAAAATCTGTACGTGTTTGGTGTATACAAATAATGCAATCATAACTTTGTTGTTTTATTATAATTGTAGGTTAGTAACCAACATATGGATAAGCCTCAAAATGATGAGCCTATTGAGAAGCACCAGCCATCTGTTCAGCAGGTTCCTCAGAACTATGCAGGACTAGAAGAGATAACAATTACTGAGTTAGTGAAGACACAACTTGAACCTGCAGTTGCACAAACCAAAGGTAAGAGGAAATGCGCTGCAAAGAAGCAAGCAGTTGTGGATGATTCTGTCAAGACTTAACGACAATGTGCATTCATTAGGACCATATACAAAAAGTGTCAAGATAATCAAGCAGGAGAAAAATCTGTAGACCAATAGGAGTCACGTATTGTAGTATTTTAAATCTAAGTTTTATGAGTGTTGTCTTAGTTAAGCAGTCCTTAGTGTTTCTTGAATTTATAGGTTTTTTTTTATTGATTAGTTGTTTGTGTGGCTTAACATTTAGCTTTCTTTTGTTGCAAATGCTATGTTTGGGAATGCTTATAGCTATTTCCATATGTTTAAGTTATGTTGGTTATTTAAGTTTATCATGTATTTCGAGGCTTTATTTCAGAAATTCATAAGTAGACTTTTTAATGCTTTATTAAAGAGGCTAGCATCTATTATCATGTTAACATTTGTAATCATTAGTTGGTTTGTGCTAAATGTCCATTTTATTGGTCCAGTGGACCACAAGAAGAAGTCCTTGATGAAATAAGAAATGCACAAAATAGTTACTAAAAAATAGCTTAGCGTTAAAGAATTAGATATCATGCACTTAGATAGGATGCCCCATGCGATGTTGGCTAGATTTCATTTAATATTGGGCTGACCAATTGAGAGTCTATTGAAATACATCAAATAAATTATTAATATCATATAAAAGTTGCTTTGTCATATAGAAACCCAACAGTGGCATGTGGTTTTGAAATTGTAAAAATTTAATTTCTTTTCACATGCAACTTTCAAATTTATTAACCCAATAATAATATTTAATAACCTAAGAAAACTTTCAAGAAAATACTTTTTCTATAAAGCTGCAAGTAAACTTTTTAGATTGCCTTTGCACTATAAACAAAATCTTAGATGCCTCGCACCATTCTCCATAAAAAAATATATTTTAGTGTGACCTATTGCTTTTACCTTTTTCATGAATCTTGACTTGAACCTTTATTCCCACTGCCACAAGTTATGCTAAAAAGCAAACCAACATGTTGAAGTTGACATATCACTGCTATTAAACAAAATATTCAGCTTTATATTTGACCCTTTCCATTATTTGCACACTCGAGTTGCATCCATAGTGCTATAAGTTGATACTCATCTCTTCCATTTCATTTTGCATACACCTACAATCAGTCCATAGCTTCCATTTTGTCCTCTTTGACATGTTGCCAAGGACAGTTATTTCTCGCGATGGGGAAAATGATTCATGCAGTCCAACTCCTCATCCTAACAATAATGGTATGAGATCTCGTTTATTTCATGCTTTTATATACCATGAGAGATCATTATTCCATTCAATTTCCTAATCATGCTGTTATGACTTAGTAATGGGGAACTATACCCAAGCAACACAAATTTTCAGTAATCAATACTGTTGGAAGAACACGCCATATGAGAACTTTAGTCAATCTCTTCCAGACTTAAATAGCCAGCCTTGTTACAGTCAACCAAAGGACACAGTTTCTCAAAAAACATCTGGTGTAAACAGGCCAAAAAGGAGGAGAGTAGCTCTGGGTGACATAACAAATGTTGCCACTAGCCTTTCATCAAAGTTCTCAGAGGACTCCGTTTCAAGTGACATTAAGCAAACATATCTATAGACTTTTCCTACTGCTTTCAATTCATTTCTTCATTACCTAACCTTGGTCCCATTTATTTGTAGATGTTTTCCAACGGAGAAGTGCTAGACTTCGTGCAATTTTGAGTATAAACCAATCAAATGAGTCAACTATAGAGAAGAATGTCGCTCACAAAATGTTAGTGAAGGTAAAGCAGGTCTAAAATCATTAGGTATTTACAAACCACAGCTAATAATCAAAGAAAAAACTGTTGATGATGACAGTAAATTTTTGTATTACTTGTTTAAAAAACAATGCTAAAATAAATGCCAAATTAAATTGAATTTTAGATATTATCCTAAGTAAAACAAAAAATTAATGCTATTTGGTCCAAGATTTAGCCTTCATTGATGAGCATAGATTGTACGTGGATGGTATATTTTATATTGATAAGCTGTTTTAACTTTTAACTCCAGTTCGGCCGAGTCACCGTAGATTTTAATTTTAAGTGGGAGACTAGCCTGTACGTAGTGTCATTGTTCAGTTTTGCTCCAATTAGACTTTAGGCCTGTGCTTTTAATGCTTTTTGGTCCAAGATTTAGCCTTCATCTCTGTCCGATATTCATTTTACACTCTTAGGCCTAATGACATCTTGGTTTACGTTGTCAAAAGTAGTTGACTTGCCTAAGCAACATCGTTAGTCCCTGCTTCGTGATGATCAATAAATTTTGGTTTATGTACTCTAATCTAATATAGATTCATTTCATTTTATAATAAATTTAGGAATCATATGAATAAAGTTAATTGGTCTGCTGCCATTTTCTTCATTAATATTTATCATCTACATTATGTTTGAATAATCCTCATTTAAGTTGCTGAAATTTTGGATCTTCTAAAATATATATTTCATATTAATAATTATACAAGTATTTTTTGGTGACTTGACAGCTCCTGAACATTATTATAGGGAAATTGAGTTCTCATACAATATTAACTCAGACAAAGATAGTGATGCAAGTGATGAGGGTGATGCAATTGTTTTAGGTATTTATATTAAAAATTCACAAGTTTTATTATATGAATTCATGTTTTCATATATTTTCCTGATAGTGGTGGTATAATTTTTCCCTTCACAGGTGAATCTCTAGAACCTCCTCAGACTGTATCCAATAATGCTTCAAAAACCATCAAAGAAACAAGTACATTAAATTTTAGATGTTGCAATATTAATATATTTAATGAATGTTACATTCTTTTTAATAGCACACATAAATCCATACAACTATGAGTATAATAACTTGCATGAAAAGTTATTCATGTGGTATACAATTATTATGGACATATTCATGTATGGAATGTTTAGTGTCATTTCCTTTTTAATTAATTGTAATCATAAATATTTATTATAGACATTTAGATTAAATTACAGTTACAGTGTTTTGCTATGAACCATGAAATATATAATGGACATTAATGTAAAATATTAATGAACATAATTAATCGTTGGTGAAATATTAATGTATAATTACTATTACAATTATTAATAGTTGGTGAAAGATTAATGATCTATACAACTATGACTATATTAAATTGCATCCACATTTTCCCTGTGCTATAGAAATATTGCTGGAAACAATTTTGTTGGAGTTATCTTTTTTTTTAATTATTTTACAACCTCTAATATGTATAATAAATTTTTCAATCATTTAATAATTAAAGGAAGAGGTCTAAAATTAAACTATACCAAAACCAGCAAGAAATAATTTACTTCAATTCATATGCTATGCAATTTACATTGATGAAGGAGATCCTATGGAGACATGCAAATTTTGTCAAGCTCAGCTATGGTTCAATGAGAGAGTTAAAAAAGACACATTTCGTAAAAATCTATCATTCTCACTTTGTTGCGGTAATGGCAAGGTTGTATTACCAATCATGCATACCCCTCCACCATTTTTACGTAGACTATTCTTTGACAAGAAGTCACATGAGTCAAAGAATTTCCATGCTAATATAGGACAATACAACAACATGTTTTCTTTTACTTCTATGGGTGGAAAAGTAAACCATTCAATAAATAGCGGTGGTGGACCTTATTCCTTTGGGATATCAGGAATGAATTACCATATGATTGGAAGTCTATTACCACCTGAAGGAGCTAAACTAGTATACTCACAGTTATATATATATGATACTGATAATGAAGTTACCAATAGAATCTTTGCTGTAAGGTTAGTCATTTAGAAATCTGTTACTTTGAATTATTGTTCTTATTTTAATTTTTTAGTGAAACTAACATTAAATAAATAAATCTTTGATGTAGCAATCATCAAACATCAATGAGCATTGATGTTTTAATTATTCAAAAAATCAAAGATGTTCTAGATCAAGTGAATCCATTTGTACAGTAATATAGGATGGCATTATCATTACTAAAAAAAAGGGAGTGAGTGTCAACAATTTAAGTTGTGCTTGATAAGTACTCGACAACATGATGGTCGAACATATAACCTCCCTACAGCTTCTGAGGTTGCAGCATTGGCTGTTGGTGACATTGATATGGAATTTAGTAGAAGAGATATTATTGTTGAGGAGCTATCAGGATATCCCCTATAAATAAATTGCATGCCTCATACATCCCTCTCCAATATCCTATACTGTTTCCATTTGGTGAGGATGGTTATAGAAATGATGTTGATCATCATGAAGACACACTCAGCTATACTAAGAAGAAAAAGAAGGTTAGTATAAGGGAATATTTTTCATTTTGACTAATGACATGGCTTGAGGAAATCTCATCATTGCTACATGCACGTAGATTATTGCAATAATTTATTGTTAATGGATATACAATGATTGAGTCACAAAGATTACTTTGGGTAAAGACACATCAAAAAGAGCTCCGGGTTGATTTATATCAAGGTCTATCTGATGCTTTAATTAGTGGTGAAAGGAATGCCAATTACACAAGAAGACGAATAATTTTGCCATCATCTTTCACTGGTGGAGCTACATACATGATTCAAAATTATCAAGATGCAATGGCTATTTGTCAATGGGCTGGATACCCAAATATCTTTCTAACTTTTACGTGTAATCCTGCATGGCCTGAGATTGCTAGATTTTGTGAGAAGCATTGCTTATCTCCCTCAGATTGCCCAGACATACTATGCAAGATTTTCAAGTTGAAATTGCAATCACTAATGAAGACACTAAAGGGGAAGAAAATTTTTGGCACAGTTCGAGCAGGTTAGAATTCCAAAACTTTAATGATCTCTGATTTAGTATATTCCATATCATTAATAGCTTGATAAGCATGTTGTTTATACTATACAATTTTTGTTTAAACTTTATATTGTTTCGTACTTGGTTAATTCCAAATGGTATTTATGTTGATTTAGCATGTTTTTTAATGTTGTCTACTTAGATATATATACTGTTGAGTTTCAAAAGCGAGAACTTCCTCATGCACATATTCTCCTATTCCTAGATCCAAAAGACAAAATAACAAATGCGGTTGGGGTTGACAAAATTACTTCAGCAGAAATTCCTGATTATACAACATCACTATTGCTGTATGAATTAGCAAAGAAATTTATGATTCATGGTCCTTATGGAAAAAGCAATCCAAAGTCACCGTGCATGAAAGACAATAAGTGTAGCAAATACTTCGCAAAGAAATTCAATGACATAACAACAATAGATGCTGATGGCTATCCTACATACAAAAGAAAGGATGATGGAAGAATGATTGAAGTTAAAGGTATTCCTCTTGATAATAGATATGTTGTGCCATACAATCCAATGCTACTATGCAT